AGACCTTTTTTCCTTATCTACAAGGAGCAGGGAGTGCCTGGAACTCTGTGAGTGCATGTCTGGGAGATCATCTTTAATCTCTTGTTGTCAGGCCTTCGCAACAATTCCATAAATGCACCCAGAGATCACCTAGCAGTCTCTTACACTGAGACAGTTCCATCAATATATGATCTTTTTGATGACTTCTTGTATTTATTTGCTAATATCTGATTGAGGATTTTTGCATTTATGTTCATTAAGGAGATTAGCCTATACTTTTCTTTTTGAGTCTTTGTCTGGCTTTGGGATCAGAGTGATGCTGGCTTCCAGAACAGTAAAGAAAATGTGGTGTTTATACACAGTGGAGTACTACTGTGCCATAAAGAAGAATAGATTTAAATCATTTGTAGGAAAATGGATGGACCTTGAGACCATAATGTTAAGTGAAATAAGTAAGACACACAAGCTTAAATATCACATGGTTTCTCTTCTTTGAGAAATAAGAAGCAAAATAAAAGATAGATAATAGGAGGGCTGGGGATTTAGCTCAGTGGTGCCGCCACCTGCCTCGAAAGTGCAAGGTCCTGAGTTCTGAAAAAAAATCGATCCCCAGTACCCCCCCCAACAAAAAAAAAGATAGATAATAGGAAATAGTGAGACAAGTTTTTTGCATATGGGAAGGGGACCAAGAAATAGAGGGAGAGGACGGGAAGGGGATAAAAAAGAATTAATAAATTTAAACACACACAAAAAGATTCTGTCTTTTTGTTGGACATCTGGGATTTTGACTAAGGTATGTCATGGAGAGCATCTTTTTCCATTATGCTTATTTGTGTTCTGTAAGCTTGCCTTACCTGTGTGTTCAGATCTTCCCTCCTACTTGGAAAGTTTTCTATTATGATATCTGTAAACAGATTTTTTAAAATTCCATGTGTGCTGTCTTCTAATTTCCCTCTAACTTCACTTAGCCGTAGCTTAGTCTTCTTAGCATCGCCTAGTAGCACTGTTGGATGAATTTTTCCTTGTCGTGATTTACCATTTTGTCCTTGATTTTAGAAGCCTTGTCCTCACATTGGTCATTTGTACAGTTTATAAATTCTGTGGAATTTTTTATTTCCCACATTTCTGTCTGATACTTTTTTTTTTTTTTCTAGTACCAAGGGTGGAACTCAGGACCTTGTGCTTGTGAGGCAGGTGCAGTGCCACTGAGCCCTGATACTTTTTTGTGGCATCTATATCTTTGGTAAATTTGTCATTCAAATTTGGTAATTTAAACTGTTTTGGCAGCTCTTCCAATGTTTCCTTTGATTCTCCCATATCCACATTGGTCAGTTTGTATGACGGCTCCGTCATCTTCGGGGTCTTGACCTCTTTGAACTCACCAGGTTTCTTTACCCTGCTCTTTAATCATCTCGCGAAGCTCCGACACCTGGTGTTTACTTTCTTCTACACTGTTGCCCCCCGGATCCACCTTGGGAGAGTTGGGGGGCCTTGGGGACTTTGGTGCCTGGTTTTCCCAGAGAGGATTTACTTTTACCTCTGGGAAAAGTGGGGTTGAGATAAGCTCCATCTGGACTTCAGTTTTTGAGAGAGCTGCTTTATTTCTGGTTAGTCCTTACTCTTTTGGCATTTTAGCTAAAAACCCATTTTTAACAATTACTTTTTAACCAGGACTCCACCCGCATGGTGATCCCTAAACCTCTAGCTTTTGTTACCCCATTGAGACTGCTACAGCCCTCCTCTGCTTTCCTGCTCCCTAGACCCTGCTTAAGCCTTGGTGGGCATGAGGGCGGGTCTGAAGTCCTTATCTCCGCTCTTGGTACCTCCTTTACCTCCAGGATGGTGGCCCCCCTGGTACTCCCTGCCTTGGTAGCTCTATGATGTATTCAAATAGATTTAAGAAAAAAATCAAACAAACCCCAATACCTGTCATCAAGAGGATTGGTCCCTTAAAGCTGGTTTGCCATAATCAGATAAATCCAGCTTGTGGCTTCCATGAATGTTTTTATCATTATTATTTGAAAATCCTTCAAAGAAAGATGTCATGCTGAGGCTCAGAGTCCTTTGAAAAAGTCACAGGATGGAGCCTTTTTGCATCCCTTCAGTGAAAGGGTTTCTAAATTATCACACCACTTTCCTTTTATATGCAAAGTACCTACTATATCTGTTGCACACAGCAGTTCCAAGACATAAGGAATGTGGGGTTTGCTGGGGAAGGAAAGTGGGGCCTCTGTATAAGAGATGGTGAAGAATGCACAGCATAAGGATGTGGTCAGAAGATGGGTCTAGGGGATCCAGTATGGGAAGTAGCAGGGAATGGGGAGCCTGTGGAGTAAGGGCCAGGAAAGTGGACTTATCTCCCCTCATTGGGAAAGGATGCACAACTTGCTAAGCTGATAACTGCACATACATACATGCAGTCCATCCCTTTGTTTCCTTCCAGTCAGAGTTCTTTTACCTCTTCCTGCTACATATTTGTGTCCTCTTCCTTACTGTCCCCATCCATGTAGATGTCTCGTAGGCTCTTGCAGCTTGGCTTAGCCCAACATGAAATGATCTGCTATGCGTCGTCACCCTGGTCCCAGGGTTCTGAGTTAGAGTTGCCCAGCTTTACCTGAGAAACGTATTGCAACTCAGGCCCTCTTTTCCACCTTGCATGCTGCCGTCACCCACCCTAGTGTAGGCAGAATCACTGTGTGCAGATGCTGGGGCAGCCTCCTGCCTTATTTCTGTGTTGGTTGGAATCCATCAGAAGACAGAAACCACACAGCAGCTAGAATATGAGAAGTGTAATCTAAGTAACTGTCAACTGTAGCAGGGGACTGGAGTGATGAAGGAATGGTAAGTAAAGACAACTCTAGCAAGCACAGGAATAACTGGTACAAGAAGCTGCCATCCCTAAGGCTGAGACAGGGTGCGCAAGGAAGATCCTTTTCTTCGTCCCCTGCTGAGACCCAGACCTTGAAGAGGACATGGCAGAGAAGGGTGTGAGATGCTGTGCTGGCAGAATGCTCTAGAAGGTGCTCTCCAGGATGCCAGGGAAAGCTGTCATGGAGGGCAGCAGGGCGTGCTCCATTTGTGGGGAAGAAACTCCCAATTGGTAAGGTCTACAGATCCTCTTTTGCAGCAGGATCCTTGTGCTAGAATAGTTGCCTACATTGCAGGAACTGGAAGTTGGGGAAGCCATGTGAGCTGCAGAAGCCTGCTAAGTGCACCAGGACACCAGCAAGGAAAGCCCCTCCTCTAGTTTCTCCAGCACCCCTGCTGGCAAAGTTGACATTGCATCAGCTACTGGGGAAAAAATAAAGTGCTTAGCTCCTTTTTTTAAAACAGTGTCTTGCTGTTTAGTTCAAGCTGGCCTCAAATGAATGATCCTCCTGCCTCAGCCTCCCAAGTGCTAGGATAACAGGCATGTGCCACCATGCCCGGCACCCAGCTCAATGTTTGAAGAGCAGATAATGAACAGTCATTTTTGAGTCAAGAGCAATAGCTGAATGTCTTCTGCCTTTGTTGAGGGGCAGCAGCGTCACCGAATAGTTAAAGAGTGTGGTGCTGAAGTTGTCAGGATTCTAGAGTTCAGATCTGAGTCTGCCTGTCATTTGCTATTGGTGTAAATTAGTATAAGCCTTGGGAGATTTACCTGAGCTCTATGAGTCTCAGTTTCCTAATCTGTGATGATAATATGAGTACTAACCTTGTTGGGTTATTGTGCTGGTTGGGTTTATATTTTAGAAGTTCTTAAAAGAGCACCTAACAGAGTAAGCAGTGCACCAGACTCTATAAGTTGCTCTTCCATTATTGCATTCAAATCCATTCACATTTGAAGGGCTTTCCTCCCCACCGATGCCACCTTCTCGCTGTGTCTTCACCAGGTGGAAGAAGCAAGGAATCTCTTTTATAAGGGCACCAATCCTAATCACAGGGGCTCTGCTCTCATCACTTAATCATCTCTCAGAGGTTCCAGTTCCTATTCTATGATCTTAGGAGTTAGGATTGCAGCATGAATTTAAGGAGACACAAACATTCTGACCATAATAAACAAGGTGAGTTGGAAAATAACACATTACATTCCCTCTGCCTGTCCTGGAACATGAGATTTGTACCACAGTACTGTGGACTAGAATTCATCCCTACAATGGGAAGCTGGTGCTTTGGTATTGGACTTTCCAGCCTATAGAAGTGCAATGCAGGCATTTCTGTGGTGGATTTGTCATCCGGTTAGGCTATTTTGTTATGGCAAAAGGACTGGACTATGACGCTGTACATAGTTAAAAAATCGGAAATCTGGCTGCATCACATTGCTGTTTAAAACTCCCCGTGACTCCCCCTTGGCGTCAGGATATTCCTGGATGTGAGGCTCTCACTGATGCTCTACCTCTCTCCTTTCTCCACACCCTGGCCCAGGTTCCCACTGAGTTTTCCCAGACTTTGAAGTTCACTCCCCTCACACCTCCCCTGGGCTGGATCTATTTTCCAACTTTGCTGACTGTGTTCCCTCCTCGAGTAGAAAAGCCTTCTGGCTTTTCTAGTTGTCTTTCAGCCTTCAGAAAATGTACGTACTGTTGGGAGCAATGCTACATAATTTTAGGGGAAAATCATTTGGTTAGCCTAGTTCTCCTTCCTATAACCCAGCTATGGAATTCCGGGACATAATTACATTTTGGCCTCCGGTCACAACTGAGACCTCAATGATCCGGTGATGCTGTGATTCTCCAGGACAAAAAACATCCTAAAAACTAAAAAGATCCTGGGAGGAACAAAATGTCCACTCAGTTCCTCATTATTCTTGGACCTTTACCATCTTGTTTATGAAGATGTACTGAACTCTCTGCAAGCCATTTGTTACCTTTGTTTCTCCTGATGTACTGAATAAAAGGTGTGGTAAGCTGGGGGCTTTTGTCTTTGCTGCCCAGAGCAGCCCTGATCAGACCCAAAGCTCAGCTTCTTCTCAGTGTCATTTTTCTACCTTTCCTGTAATTTGCCGTGTGCTTCCGTGGCTCACAGGAGACCAGGACTCACTATAGAGGTTCTGGTAACGTCCCCTTCCCCTGTTCCCTACAACGTACCATCTCCTCCAGGAAGCCTTTCCTGAATCTCCAAGTTCTTTTGCTTCCAGAGTAGTTGTCCTACTATATCAAAGGGCTGGGCTTCTGCACCTGTCTGGCTACTGTGGAAGCCCCTTAAGGTCTCCTGTGTAGAACTTGTGTTTGTATACCCTGTGCTGCAGCACAACCAATGCCGTAGGCCTGGATGTTTCTAGGACTGCCAATCACAGAGATTTGTGCAGCCAGCCCCACCAGTCTCTATGGCCCTCAGCGCCAGATGGAGCAGAATCCACATGGGGACGGCATTGTGCTCCCTGACTCTAGATGGTCACGGTAGCATCCATCTACAGCTGCTTGGCCCACTGCAGGACCTCCGGGGTCGATTGGGAGTGATTGAAATGTTCCTAAATGATAAAACAACATTTTCATACAAGAGATGCCAAACTGGTCCACGTTCATGGGAATGTCAGAAGTGGCTGGGAAAGGGGGAAGGAAGAAGAGATGTCATCTGATGCGACCAAGGACTTTAATTGGAGACAGCTCTTCCTGCCCTGGCTGTGTCAGATGGTGGGACTCCAGCAGATGGCACAGGGTTGACTCCGACATCTTCTCTTCCTGCCTGAAGTTTCTGAATCAGTCTTTATGACTCCTGCCCACTGCCTTCCTCCTCATGGAGATCCTCTGCAGCTGTGCAGCCAGAGCCTCATGGGGGCGCCACTGACTAGAATGCTCAGGGTCACCCAAGGTTGCATGTCTTGACTGTCATCCGGTTGTTTTGGGAGCAGTGTGTGTGTTTCTTTTGCAAACTATCTTGGTAAGAGCCTGCCTTCAGATCTGAAAGAATGAAGGAAAAAATGTTCCTTGAGTAAAGGCTTTGAGAGATACACGAATGAAGTCTTAGTTTTACCCCACTGGGGGATTCTAATAATCATTCATGGTTTTAAAAACATTTTGCTGGGCCAGATGTAGTGGGGCGCACCTATAATCCCTGCTATGCAGGAGGCTAAGGCAGGAGGATCTCAAGTTCAAGGCCAGCTCAGACAACTCAGCAAGACCTTGTCTCAAAGTAAAGTTTTTTTTTTAAAGAGTGCTTGGTACGTAGCTCAGTGGTAGAATGTATGCCTAACACATGCGAAGCCCTGGATTCAGTCCTCAGTGCCCCCTAAACAAAACCCCCCAAAACCCCAAACACCAATTCAAATTCTGCTTGTTGGAGGTAAGAATGACCCCAAACTGGGTGAAACAATTGAGATTTGAGCATTTACTTGTTACCGAAGCATAACCTGGCTGATCCTGCCTGGTACACTTACATATATCATTTCCGTTTGTTGAGTGCCTTCCTCAAGCAGGGTCATGCTCTAGGCACTTACATAGTTTACCTCACTTCATCCTCCCAACAGCCTGTACAACAGGTTATGTATTATTGTTTCTGTTTTGCAGAGAAACAGGGAGGCTCAGTGACTTGCACTAGCTAAGTGGCAGAGGAAGAATTTAAACTGCCATGTAGGGGAACACCAATACCTAATATCTAATAATGAATATAGTCTTTAGGCTGTCTTCTCATAGGTTTAGGTATCCATGGCCCTTCCACACCCCCAGAATGCTGAAAGAAGTCACAAGTGTCCCACTGGAGGTGCCTGGGGAGACCAAAACCCCGAGAAGTAACTCAGGTATTCTTGCCAGCTGTCCTGGCTCACATCTGGCACCCACCGGAGGACCATGGATGATGCTGTTGGAACATTCTTGGGCTGTGGGAGCCCACAGTGTTGGAAGCCCCCTCACTGGCCTTGCAGCAGCAACAGAAGATCCTGGATGCCATGTTGTGGTGGCTTTGGGAAGAGGAAAGGGCACTGGGAGTCTGGCTGTGTAGCCCCAACCCCAGAAGCCCATTGTTGTTTAAGCAGTGAGTCACACTGGGCCCCTCACCTCCTGTAGCTCCCCGTGGCCAGCAGGTCTAGCCTCCCCTGCCTGCACCTTCCTCTCTGAGGACCAGTCCTTCCTCTACTGTCCACAGTCCCACCAGTGGAAAGGACTCAGTGCCTCGCCTCCACCAGCCCTCATGTGCAGGGGCACCTTCTTGAATCAGCAGGTCTTGGGGTCTGGCACAGTCATTGGGTCAGCACTGATTCCTAGATGCACATACAGCTGTGGCTGGAAACGTCCATCCCTTCGTTGTCAGGTCCTATGGCCATGAAACACTAGCACGTGTAGTGATGCATGGGTGTGCACCTGAGTGGTCATCTCTCAGAGCTGCCCCATGTTATCCTAACTGGGGAAGAGTATCACCACCTCAGAGAAACAAGGGTCTCTCTGTGAACCTCTCTGTGGTGCAGGTGCTCAAAGGCACCACCTGCTCAAGTCTCTCCATCCTCGTCCCTGTACCTGTTTATTCCAGCTGGGGCCAGTTCCCTGCAACACAATTATAAAACCCTGCTCTGCTGGTTCACTTCCTGGCCCTCACTGCCTTTCTGGGTGGCTTTGAGCTGGCCCCTGTCTGTCTCTGGACTTAGGGTCCTCGTTTCCAGCAAAGGTGGTTGGGCTCATATCTCTTCAAGGACCCTTCTAGCTCTGATGACCCAAGGTTGTAAGTCCATTTTGTCCCCAATCCCCTTTCTGTCTTCCAGGGCCTGGCATTCTCCTGCTCTTGCTGTCCTTTCTCTGTGACTGGAGCCCTGCTCTCGTGGTCCTATTGTTGTGGCAGAGCACAGCAGCTCAGTGTTATAGCCAAGTGTTATAGCTCAGTGTCACAGCTAAGTGCCACAGCTCAGAGGCACGCCTGAGTGTTACAGCTCAATGTTGAAGCAAGTGCCATAGCTCAGAAGGCACAGCTGAGCTTTACAGCTCAGTGTGGTGGCTTTGGAATGCAGCTCTCATAATTTGAAGACTCAAGAATCCGATGGTCAGTTGAAGAGGTGAAGAAAAACCTTTATTATGCCAGCAAGCCCCCAGTAGGCTCAGAGGACTCTGAGCACTCTACTAGAAATGAGAGCCTCCTTACATAGGGATCTACAGGGTAGGTGAGCATCCTCAGTGTGTATGTGGGTGGGGGGTGGAGTTATAGAACATTCCTGAAACACATGCCATGTGAGCATGCTCACTGAACGGGGGGAGGGGGTGGAGTTACAGAACATTCCTGAGAGGGGGCAGAGCTTAACAGAACATTCCTGAAAGGTCACACAGTTCAAACAGTTACAAACCGTTTTGATACATTGGTCAGGAGCCCAGCAGCCCAAACTTACATTTCCAAAACAAAACATTCTGTGGGAAAAAAAAATGGAGGCAAGGCAAAGGCCTGTCTTATTGTGTAGCACTTCTTTATCACTATGCCAGTCACAGCACACTGGGACCATCCCGGGCTCATCCCTGGGCAGTGGTTTCCCACCTCTTCAGCCTCCTCCTCAGCACCATCATCTCATATGTGGATTACTGCAGTGGTCGCAGCTGGTCCTCTGCTTCTTCCACCTGGTCTCCTTAAGCATAGAAGTCAGATTATGTCACCTTGCCCAGAACCTCCCAGCAGCCTCCCTGCTCATGCAGAACAAGACCCAGTCCTTTCAGGGCCTCCCCTGAAAAAGTCCCTAATGTAACCATTACCTTCGCCTGCTCCTCTTGTTGTCTCCTTCTGGCTGCCCCTTCCCTCCCTTCCAGCTATACCAGGCACTGTCCCTTGGCTTCCCCTTCTGCTCATTCCTTAGATTCCACCAGGCTCATTCCTGCACCCCTTCTAGCCTGTGCTTAAGGGCCACCTTGTGTAGTGGGTCCTTCTCTGGCCTGTTCACCCCATTAAGTCCCCTCTTCTGCCACAGCACTCTCTGTTCCCCTTTCCCACAGCTCTTGTTGCACCCTAACATATCCTGGATGTTTCATTTGTGTGTGCCCTGTCCTTCCACCAATAGCCCAAGAAGTCAGGGGTCTCCTTTGTCCACTGCTGGGTTCCCAGCACAGGGCACAGGATGGATGTTTTGTAGACGTTGTGACATGGGTGAATGAACACGTGCTTATCCCATTTTGGTCCTGAGTACAAGCAAGTGCTCCCCAGGGAGCAGCAAGGAGTGAGGGGAACCATTTTGTTCCAGGAGTGTCACACATGGTAGGATGCTGCCTGCCTTATCCATCTGCCAGACTGACTGATGGCTTTGTGCATGACCAATCAGGTTGCTCAGGGCCCTGCTGATGGGACTCTTCTACCCAAACCTGCTTCTCCTCTTCCTACGGTCCCTGTTTGGGGACAGCTTTCACTATTACCTTCGTGTCTGGGGAGCCCTTTCTCCTGCTCCCTCTCCCTCCCTGTTCCCCCTCCCATATTCAGTCATTCACCCAGCTCTTGATTCTACCCCACTGATGTTGGCCTCATTGTCTGCCAACTCTGTCCCCACTGCCCTCCCCTCCATCCCCCCCCCCCCCCCCCCCCCCCCCCCCCCCCCCCCCCCCCCCCCCCGCCGCTGTGTCTTGACCACAACTTCTCCTCTGGTCCCTCTGGCTCACTTGCAGCTCCCAGTCAAATCCCAAGCCACTGCTCTGCCACAAGCCCTCAGCGACTCTCCTGTTCTACTGCTTGAACTTGCTTCAGGCTCTGGCCCTGTGGTCCTCACCAGCCTCCTTCACAGCCACTCACTCACTGCTCTTCATCCTGTGCTAGCAGTGGCCTTTGCACACGCTGCTTCCTCTTCCCCTGTTCTCTTTCCTGCCTCCTCCTCCATCACACTCCATTGAGCTTGGGTGTCCTCTCCTAAGGAAGCTCTCTCTTATCCCGGGATGAGTTAGAGTTCTCTCTTGGGGTCCCACTGCCCCTTGGCTTCTCTGCATCTGCCTTTGCCGCATGTCTCAGCACAGTGTCTGTCTGTCATAGCCCGTACTCAGCAAATGTTTTGCCTATGAAAAAAAATCTGTGATATTTGAAAATTTGTTCAGTATAGTCAACACCCTTGGGTTCTGCGCCAAGGACGTAACCATTGTGGATTGAAAATATGAAAAAATACATCTGCACTGAATATATACAGGTCTTCTTGTTATTATTCCCTAGATAATACAGCAGAACAAATATTTATGTAGCATTTACATTGTAGTAGATACTACAAGTCACTTAAAATGATTTAAAGTTTAGAAGAGGATGTGCATAGGTTTGTGGGCAAATAGTACCTCAGTTTATGGAAGGGATTTGAGCATCCATGGATTTGGGTATTGAAGGGTGGTCTTGGAACACGTCTTCCATGGACATCTGGGTACAGATGTATTTATTGAGGATGTACTGGTACCAAGCACTGTGTTCAGGGCTGAGGATCCTGCAGTGAAGAAAAGTGACAGATTACTGCTCTCAAGGAGATAGGATGTGCACATAGGGCTGTGCACAGAGCGAGCTTCTCTCCATGTTGGTTGAATAAATGCCTGAGCCTTCTCTGACTGTTGGGGAGAACAGTGCCCAATTCTTTCCCTGGTCTCCCTTCCATGACCAGGTATTCACTTTCTGCCCCTAGAAACTGAAATGTCCTCATTCATGCCTTCTTCCTTGTCCCCATGACTTCAGTCTTAGTAGTGGGGGGAGAAAGGGCCAGAACATGGCATTCATTGGGCATCTTAGGTTGGTCGTTTGACATTTATGAGATCATTTCTCTCATCTCCACTGTACCATGCAGGGTGTGTCCTATTTTTTCTGTTGGAAGAATTTGGTCTCAGAATGGTGACTTGCCAAGGTGTCTCAGCCAGGAGGAATAGCTGGGATTTTCATTTTCTTCTGTGGGGTGGGGCTTAGGATGGAATCAGGACCTTGTGCATGCCGGGCAAGTGGTCTCCTATTGAGCCACACCCACAGCCCCATTAGCGTGGTTTTGTCTGAGCCCAGAACTTGTGCTGCCCAGGCCTCAGCCTACAGGCTGTTCCTAAGCAATATGTTCAGACCATCTTGTCCTCTGACAATTGACATTAGGGGCTTTCAATGACCAGGGTCCATCTGAAACTTGGCAGAGGGGTGCCACAGTCCAAAGCACACTTTTTTAAAAAAAATTAAGCTTATTGGTACATTTTAGGTATAAATACAGTTACATTCATCACTGGGATCTTGTACCTTTACATGAGTATCTTGGGTCTTATTTTTCCCCCTTCCCCTGCCCTCCCTTCACCCTCTCCATCCCTCCCTATTTACAAAGACATTATTTCCATTTTTCCTTTTCTCATGTTTTTTTTTCTTTTCCCTTCTTTCTTTTCCCCTGCCCCTCCCACTTCCCTTACTCCTTTAGACCTTTCCTTCCTATTTCACATTATCTATTTTACCTTTTAGTCCTTATTTACACTTTCAGTTTCTCACACTAGAGAAACTATTAGGTATTTACACATGTGTGTCCTATTTATTTCACTTAAGAGTATCGCCTCAATGTGGATCTGTTTAGCTATAAATGTCTCTAGTTTCTCATTCTTTATGGCTGAGTAGTACTCCATTTTATAAAAAAGCCACATCTTCTTTATCCAGTCTCCAGTTGATGGGCAATTGAGCTGTTTCCAAGTTTTAGAAAGCACACTCTTTTTACTTAGACTTGTTTTCCTATTTCCTGCAGCACCTTGTTGTGTAGTTTGGAGCAACTTTATCTCTTTGAAGCTCAGTTTATCTATCTGTTCAAGGAGGTTGGTAAAACCAACCCAGAATGTTGTGAGGATTGGGTGACATAAGGTGAAAAGTGCTTAGCATGGTTTCTTGGACACAATAAGTGTTTAGTAAGTCAGAGCATGGTGACAGGGGAGTCACATATGGCATGGGGAGTGTCTTGCACTACCAGTGTCCTCCTCTAGATGGGAGCAGGAGCCAAAGAAAAGGCCCTTGGGTTGTTCCCAGTGGGCTGTGAGCTTCAGGTCCCCAGCGACACCACAGCCTGGTGATAGAACAAGCAAGGTCAGTGAGGTCAGGCAGGAGGGTTTCTGGGCTGGGAAACCCTCTGGGGTCATTCAGCACAGGTCCAGGGGGAGAGAGAGAGAAAGAGTGGGGTCATGAGGGGTGATGAAGTGAACAGGCATCCAGGAGCAGTGGGGACACTGTCCCTTTTAGAACAGAAAGCTGTCCCTGCTCTGGCTCGTGGGTCTGGCTTTTGAAGCTCATTCATCTGGCAGCTGGCAGAGTAGATGGGAGGCTGTGTGTGATGTCACAGAGCTGGGAACCAGGGAATGTTGGGGACAGAGGAGCCTGGACTGGACCATAAATGTCAGAAGGAGGTGGGATCTCTCATGACCTTCTCCTCAGTGGCCCTTCCCTCTGTCCCCCATGTCTGTCAGGTTGGCTGGGGTGGTTTTACTTCATGTGTCTCTCATCCTTCTTGGATTATCAGGGCAGCTAGGCCATGTTCTTCTCAGGAGGGTGCCAGAGGCAAGAGAGGGAGCCTCACCAGGAAAATCATGTCTGCTGGAGTCTCATGTGTTAAGTTTCTATTGGCCAAGCAATGCATGATGGAGCCCAGAGGAATGAATATACGCTTCACCCAAGAAGATATGGCAGAGAAGATTTGGGGCCAATACTTTGCTATGCCACAGGTAGATACCATTACTATACTTATTTTACAGCTGAAGAAACAGGCACAGAGTATATTAGGTATTTTGGATAAGGTGACAAGGTGACATAGAAAGTGGCTGAGGCATTTTAAAGGCTCAAGATTGATACTACCAAGTTATTTTCCAAGTAGGTTGTGCCATGTAGCTCCATCTCCTCCAGGAAAGGGATATTGGTGTATTACCAGTGGCTGCTGCCATCTTCCTTCTGTTCTGGTCTCTGTGCTACCACGGAAGAAATCTGCCTGAGACTTCTGAGAGCTGCACAGACGTTTCCATGTGATTGGATTGAGCCCACCCAGACAAGTGGGGGATTATCTCTCTGTTAGCTTTTTGTTGTTGGGATGAAATAAATACCTGAAATATACAACTTAAGGGAGGAAAGGTTTATTTTGGCTCAGAGTTTCAGAGTTTTCAGTCCTTCGGTTGGCCACCTCTAAGGCAGAAAGAAACATCATGGCAGAAGGACACAGTGGAGGAAAGCTGCTCTATCCATGGTGCTCAGGAAGCGGAGAAACAGAAAGAGCCAGAGAGAGGAAGGGGCTGGGGACAAGAACATACCTTCCAGGTTACACTCCCAGTGACCTACTTCCTCCAACCACCCTCTACCTCATAGCAGTGCATTTAGCTATAGTCTCATCCATGGATGAGTCCATTGATGCAGTTAGCACCTTCCATGCTGAGTTTTTGGGGGACACTTCATATTTAAACCCTAACAACCAGAGTCACTGATTAGCAACCTTGATCATATCTGTTGCCTTCATCCCCCTTTGCAGTGTAAAGTCACATGTTCACAGGGTCTGGGGAATAGGATGAAGACATTTTTGGGTGAAGGGCATTATTCTGTCTCCTAGTCTATAAACACTTGTATCAAGAAAATTAAAGAATGAAATAGAGTCCCAATTCCACTCCCACCAAAGAACAACAAACTAATCAAAAGAATGTGTAAGATTAAAAACAAATTATTAGACTATATAAGTGTTTCTAACTGATAAATTAAAAAAAAATTAACAAAATAGAGAAGTGGAGTGGCCTGGCAGGGGACCAGCTGATCTCCACTGTCACCCACAGTAGGACCTGGCCAGTTCACTCTACTTCTCTATGTAACACACTCCAAAGAGGACCAGGATGGCTTCTATGGTTTTCCAGGTCCAAATGGAAAACTGGAATCTGATCAGAAGGAAACCTCAGATAAACCCAAACCGAGGGCTGTTTTATAAACAACTATGCCTTTTCTCTTCAGAAATACGAAACCTGAGAAACACAAAGAATACTTCTAGATTAAGGGACTATGACAACTACACACAATTCATGATCTTGTATTAGATCCTGGACTGGGCAAAAGTTGCCATGAGACATTTTTGGGATAATTGCTGAAAATTGAATAGTATTGTGTCAGTGTTGGAATTACTGTTTTTGATAGCTGTATGGACATTCTTGTTTTGAAATATTTAGGGACAAAAGGACATGATGACTCTTTCCAGTGAGTTAGGAATAAAAAAGATAGGGAGAGATGAGAAAATGATAAAGCTGATCTAGAGAATGTAAATTGTGATTCTGGGTAAAGGTAAAAAGTCTTAGCAGTTCAGAGCTGCCGAACGGTCTTGCAACTTTTCTGTAAGTTTGAAATTATTTCAAAAGGTTTGCAAATGGGGAGGAGACCGAGAAATGGGAGCGTGGGAAGGGAGGAGAGGAAGGGGATGCAAAAAGAATTAAAATGTGTTATACACGTGTACCAATGCCCCATGATGAATGTAATCAGTATGTACTGCAAACTTCGACTAATAAAAATTTTTAAAAAGGTTATTCAAAAGTTTTAACATTTTGTTTGGGTTAGTTAGATGTGGCAAAATATTTTAAAATGATAAGACCTCATTTGTATGAGACACTCCCTGGTAAGGGGGAGGGGAAAAGATGAGGGACATAGCCTCTGGTGTGACCAAGGACTTTAATTGGAGGCAGCTGCTCCAGCCCTGGCTGTGTCAGGAGCTGAGGGCCAGCGGACACAGGAATGGCTCTGACGTCTTCTCCTCCAGTGGACAGTTTCTGAATCAGTCTTCATGACTCCTGCCCGCTGCCCTCTTGCTTGTGGAGACCTTCCGCAGCTGTGCAGCCAGAGACCTGTGCAGGCGCCACTGACTAGAATGCTCAGGGTCACTGCATGAGCAGGGCTGGAAGGGCCAGCGCTCCTGGGAGCAGCGGTTTAAGTGGTTTAAGTTCCTCTTATAAAATCCTCCGGGGGAAGCTTCTGCATCCAGAACTGAAGGAAGAAAGGGGGAAATCATGTGTGTGAAGATTTTGGAAGGGGCTTGGATGGACTGACTTGATTGGTCCCATCCCTCTCTGATCATTCTTCAGATTCCTGAGTCCCTGAGGAGCCCAGGCAGCTGCTGTATAGGAGTTTCTTGCTGTGGATCTGGCATTGTATTACATTGGTAGAGTCAGTGACAGCAGAGTCTTGCAAAGCAGTGGCATGGAGAATAGGCTTGGACCCATCCTAGCTTGGACACAAACGTCATTTCCTGGGGAGCTGTGGAAAGTCCTTCCCCTCTGTCGGCTTCTCCTTGAGGGAGTGGGGAGGTTAGAGAGGCGGGTGCATAAGCTAGTAGGTTTCCCACCTCTCACCTTCCTTTCAGGTAGAACAGGTCTTCTGTAATCTTTTATAGAAATTTGACCTTGAGTGAGATTTTCTTTGCAAGGAGGATTTGGCTGATAGGACAGTACTAAAATGACAAGGCTGGGTGATTCTTAGTTGTCACTGACCCATTGTCACTGGGCATGGTGTTGGTGCCCAGCAATGTGGCTGCATTTCTTCTTTCTGATTATTGTCATTATCCTAGGTTGGATATCTGACTTTCCCTGACCCAGAGACATATCACCCATGACCGAAGTGTACTCAGTCCACAAGCATTTTCTGGCATTGTCCACTTGGCATGCATCTGGCTGGACAACAGGGAGCAAAACAAATGTGGGTCCTGCCTTCCTGGAACTCAGTGTTTGTCAACCCAAATAGGCATGAAGCAGCCACACAAAATGCACATACATGCAATGCCACAGGACTTAGAGACACATTTGGATGCATGATGTCCTTTCCTCTCCGACCTCTTCCTCCTCCTTATGGGAGTCCTGGCTTGAAAGATCATGGAGTGAGATCTGAGACCCTTGGATTCTTCCAGTGTGATCTAGAATGTGGCCACAGATTTCTGATGGTAGTGACCACTCTCTCCACATCCTATTTAGCTTAGCTCAGATATCCATGGTGACAAGGTCCCTTTCCTGGAGGTAAGTATTAGGACTCAGTGACTCACTGGTCAAGCTCACTGCTGCTGGAGGAAGTACTCTTTGCTGGATGCATTAGGCATCTTGTGCTAGTGTGCTTGGAATTTGGTCTGTGGAGCTCTTCCTTCTGAAGCTGCAAACCTGGCAATGAGAATTCCATAAGGAGGAATTCTCCTTATGGAACACAGGGAGGCTTAGAGGATATCATGGAAGAGAAAGTGTTTAGCAGCTCTGAAGCAGCGCCCACAGGTGGGTGGTGGATGTGGTGGGGCAGGGGAGTATCTGAATCTACTTCCTGTATTTGAGTGTATCCCCCTGTGAATGGGCACTGTATTCAAAATATATAGTCATTAAAACATTAACTTTTTGGGCTGGGGATTTAGCTTAGTGTTTCTACTGCCTGCCTCGCAAGCGCAAGGTCCCGAGTTCAATCTCTGGTACAAAAAAAAAATTAACTTTTTATCTTTTTGTAAATATAATGCATTCAAATTGTAGAAAAGTTAAGAAATATTAAGTAGTGTGAAGCAGGTAAAATACCCCAAGCACTCTCCTTCCAGATAATCTGCTTGTCTTTTTCTATGAATATTTTAAATACTCTATCACATCCTATGTATTATATATAGATTTCATTTTTTCATATATGTTATGAACTTTTATTATGCCACTAAATTTTAAAAGTAATGATTACACAATATTTTACTTTGTGGATAATTCAATGATTGTATAATATTCTATTTTATGTCTTATTCAAACAACATTCTATTAGTGGATGTTTAGACTTCCAATTTTACTATTGTTGTTTATAAGGCTTTATCTTTGTGTACTTCTAGAAGTATAACAAATGATTTTTTGTCAAAAGGCTGAGCCATATTCCATAGTAGGGTAAATAGCTCTATCACATCTAGTGGTTTATCTTGAACAAATTGTTTCACCTTCTTCTGCATCTTATCTCATATTTGCAAAGTGATACTTTCATTTTGCATAATAAAGCCCACTTCTGACAGTGACTGTGGAGGTTAAATATCATTTTACTAGTAACATGTAAACTATGAAACATTAGAGGATTCACCTGATCACAGCCAGGTCCCTAGTGCCTAGACAGTGCTTTGCATTTGGCAAGGGCTTACTTGTTTTAACAGCAAAACCTATCCTAACCTGACCAATTCCCATTTAGTTCCTATTTCTTTTTATTTGGTTCTGGGGATCGAACTTGGGACCTTGCGGTTGCAAGACAGGGGACGGAACCACTGAGCTAAATCCCTGGCCCTAGTTTCCATTTCTTAAGTACCTATTTTGTGCCAGGTCTTGTGCTAGGTGCTTGTGCATATTTCCTCATTTTACAATGATCCTGAAAAATACCAATATATTATGAACATTCCCATTTTACAGGTAAGGGTAGTCGAAGCTCATGGAGGTTAAATGACTCGCTCAATTTCTGTAGGACAGCTGAGATTCAAACTAACATTTACTAATCCAAAGGCAGCAATCTTAACCACTATCTTTATCGTCTTTAGCCTGGTATTTCTCAAACTATAAGGCACTTTCAGACTTACTTGGAGATCAGGTTAAACTTCAAGCTCTGGTTCAGGAGGTCTGGAACAGGTTCTGAAAATGCATTCTAATTGCTCCTTGGTGATGCTGATATCACAGGACTATGGACAACATTTTAGGCAGTAAGATGTTAAGCTTTCTTGTAAACTGGCTTGGGTACTTAGCCACCTGACCTCTATCTCAGTTTAGGTTGCAATTGTCACTCGAAAGACAGGAAATCTAAGGGTATCTCAGCAGCAGGAGGAGAACAGCAAACTGAGGCCTAGAGAGGCCAGGGATGATGCTCTTGTCTGATACTTACTGTGGCTCAATGGCTGGTTCTCTTGGGTTTAACTGGGAACCTTGGAGTCATCGATGACTTGGGGCTCTTCACAGTCCCTGCAGCATAAGCAGAGGATCTTTGAAGCCAGTTTTGGTGGGCTGCTGTAGGAGGTAAAAGAATGGGGGCAATGAGTTCTGGGGCCCAAATTCCACATGCTTGTTGGAGATTTACTGTGGTGAGAGTCAACTGGGCCCACTTCTCCCAAAGCATGATGTTCCACTCATTTTCCAAATCTCCTGTGGCTCCTCATGGCCAAGAGATCCAGGATGGTGACTTGTGCCCAAGCTGTGCTCTCTTAAAGCCATTTATTTTGTATTTTGTACAAAATTTTCTTACCCATGGGAAGGAATTGAAGCTTTTACTCTGCCAGCTTTTTCTACAGGGATGCTGTGTTGAATCAGCTGATCTTGAATTTGAGCCCAGATCCTTGGGCAGGGCTGTTTCCTAGATGAACATAAGACTGTAGTTTAAAACATGGCAGTATTTTGTGTTCATATACTAGCTAGGACCCATCACATCAGAATTCCAGCTCATGCAGAAATCAACATATTATGCTTGGTTTTAGATAGATGTACATTCTGCCTCACTTCTAGATGCATGCCCTTAACCTTTTGGAACCTCACTTTTATCATGTAGATTTGGGAATATGTATCTGTGCCTACTTTGCAGAAGAAAAGGTTAAATATATGCAAAGTGACTCCTACAGAGGTAGATATACTATAAGTGCTCAGTTAGTGGTCATTCCATTTCCTTTTCTTCCCTTCTGTAGATCACTGCTTCCAAATTATCTCAGGTCCCATGTCCCATAGGGACATGGTAAGGAAGTGCATAGTTGTGTAGGTTTAAATCCCAGTTTTGATACTAATTTGCTGAATGGGTTTGGTAGACCCATGCTTGTTGCTGTGTCTCAGGCTCCTCCTCAGTGGAAAGAGGAAGTTGGGCAAGATGGTCTCATCAAGGATCTTTTAGTATGGATGATCCAGCAGTATAAGGCCTCATTTTAGTGCTAAAGTCCTTTCTTTGTGAATCAAGTTTTCCAGATCTCTGGATCCTCCATGTTCTTGGTCTATTTTGGTGGTAAAAGTTCCTTTTATGGATTTTTACTACACTATTGGTTAGTTGTCTCTCATAACGGCCAATTCATTTGGCTAGGTGTTTCTCTGAAAGGTACTTGCTTCTCATTTTTTGCCCTGGTCCAAGCTACCATTTTCTCTTGTCCAAATTATTTTAATAGGCTCCTTAATGATTAACACAAAATCTGGGGTAGTTCTGTTAAAATGTGTCATGTCACACAATAACTGCTTAAAATTTCCAGTGAAAGGAAAGTTTGATAGAATAGATGGAAAAATGACAGTATTGAAAAAAGAAACAAAAACCCTGAAATAGTATAAAATAGAAATTCTAGTTCTAAGAAATCATTATATGAAAGAAAAATGTATTAAGGTAAGAGTAACAACAAACTGGGTAGCAGAAAGAATGATCTGTGAACTTGAAAAAAGTTCGACAGAAATTATCCAGACTAAAGCAGAGAGCTAATAAAGATTTTAAAAAGACTGAGGAGAGTAGCAGTAGCCTGAAGGATACTAACATACCCATGTAACTGGACTCTCAGAAGCAAGGGAAGAGGTAAGCAAATATATATGAATCAAGAATGGCTCAGGGCCAGGGATGTAGCTCAGTGGTGGTGCGCCTGCCTGGCAAGTGCAAGGTCCTGAGTTCAAATACTGGTACTAAAAAAAAAAAAGAATGGCTGAAAAATTTTCCAAATTTGCTGGAATCATTAACATAAGTACTTGGTAAACATCAAACACGAAAAACATAAAATATAGTAGATATTTTCTCCTCCCTGTCCACTGCAAACCAAGCCTACTTATCTTGTTCCTTTGTTCCCTATTCTGCAGAATGATCCTATTATTCACTTGGTCTTCAGAGCCAGATGTTTGGCAGTCATCAGACTTTTGACTTGCCTTTCCAAGTACCTCTTCATCTGTCTGCTGCCGTCCATTGCTCTTTCCCTTTCCACACCCAAGGTCACCATCACCTTTCACCTGGACCCCACCTCAAACTTTCTCACTGGCTTGTTTACCCGCACTGAAAGCTGGGGTCACATGGCCAAGGTGTATATCCCATCATCTCAGTCCTGCATCAAACTCTTCAGGGGCTCCCCAGGTCTGTGGATCCACCTCCTTTTTGGGCTACATTATTAATCTTTTCAGCTTCAATTTCTCTTGGTTTCACTCACTACCCTACAGGCGTAAGATGCTGAATAGGCAGCTCCCCCCATCACCTTTTTAGTAAAGGATCCTGCTCACATACAGTTCCCTATGTCTGGGATGTTCTTGGTTCACTCTTTCACTTCTTGAACTTCAAGATTCAGCTTAGGGCTACAGGAAGCTGCCTTTTCCTCCTGGGATGAATTAGGGACCTCTCCTCTGTGCTCCCATAACACTCTTCAACCCGCTCACCATGTTTTCCTATGTCACAATGTGTTATTGTACAGCAAATACCTGGCTTAGGTCAGTGTTCCATAACTACTTATTGCAACTGCCTATTTAGTTGCCAACCATGTGGATAGTAGACCATGAGTTCTTTCCATTTATTTCACATGTGTTGAGCTCATACTATGTGCCAGCTACTATTTGGTGTTGGAGATACAGAAACAAATAAGGTACAGGATAGACAAATGCCCCAGGCATGTGGAGGCAAGGGTAGTATTTTCTTTCATCCTGTATCTAGTATGCAATGCAGGGATAGACACAGAACAACTACTTTATAATTATTTGTCCAGTAAATTCATTAGCACCCCTGACTGCTGAATAACAACTGTGTGGCTAACAGCTCTTTCTCCTTTCTGTTAATTGATCTTTAACTTCCTGTACATAAGCTGTGCCTCATGGTTAGATGTACTCAGCAGGCTAGATGCATACAGATGTCCCCACTGTGTGGGATCCTTGGCCGGAAGTGGGGTGTGGCGCTCACCTGCTGCATTTAGCCCAATCTCCAATGAGCTTTCTGAATCTGCTGCCAGGTGAGTTTTTCAACATGATTTGAGCTCTAATGTATTTTACTGAGCTCTCTTTAATGGATTTATTTTCCAGGACTTATAAATGAATAGGAATTTATATAAAATGAGATCTTGTTTTGGAGATGTACCATTATCCTTGCCATTAATCTGTGTAATTCTCTGCTAATTGCTTTAACTTCAGTTTTCTTCATCCACTCACACCAGTATTTGCCTCATGGAGTTTTGCTTTGTTCCAAATTGCCTGTATAAGGAAGGAGTGGAGTGCAGGGCGAGCCCCCACCACAGCTTGGTGCTGAGGACTAATGGCTGGAGTCCCGTAGACTGCTGATCCATCTGGATATAGGGAAACACTGAAATTTTGACTTGGGTCCTTGGAAACGTTCACGAGCACAGGTTCTGTTTTGTTTTGTCACAAACAAAGTCACTTCACTTAGCTATGTCCTGGAGTCAGTGATTTCGTTTGCCATGCTCTGGCTTCTTTTAGGCTCTGCTTGGGTAAGGGAGTTAAGGCATCGTGCACAAGCGCAAATCTTGTTACCAACAGTAGCGCACTCTTTCCTGTTTATCATGGTCTCCTTTACATTAAAGTTGTCACTTCTTCCTGAAAAAAAATCTCCCATTTTGTGTGTATACTCCCATCTTATGTACTCTCATGTGCTTATTTTAATAAATGACAACATGTCAGTAGATAATTTGGATTTACTATGGCCATTATGAGAAACTTTTGATGTAAAAACATAAAAGATTTAAGATGGACTGTGGAAAAGAGAGAAGAAAAACAAATATCAAATAATACAAAGCTGCTTTGATTGACATACTGTGGCCTCAGGAAGAAAAAAAAAAAGAAAAAATGAAAGGTCTTCTACCTACTCAAACAACCTGAAACCTATTTTCTTTGCATCTTTCTTTTTCTCTACAAGCAAGTTTTTCTTTACCACCCACTTATATTCCTCCTGTACCTCTGCATGGCTGCCTAAATACTTTCTTCAGGCGAGCTTTTCTAGAAAATAATCATAATACACAGTAGCCCTTACATCTTTTGACACCAGAAAGTAGATCCAGAGAGAATATTTAGAACTGTCCCAAACTTCAGACAGTTGTTGTACAATACAGGTTTCTGTTAGTTACTTATTGTTCTGGATTATAATATTTGTACCAAAAGTTCATTCAATTGTTGACCTTCAATGATGTGGAAACATGTAGAAACAGCTGGATGGAAAATATTGGAATATTGAAATAATCCACTTATGTGTAATTTAATAAAAAATGACTTGAGAAGGTAATAAAAGTAGAAAATGTACCACATAAAACTATTTTGACAGCCTTTTTTGGTAGGAGTAGAATGGGGCAATGACTCAGAATCATAAGCAAAAGGAAGATGAATCAGTTGGACATGACAAACTTCTGGACACTTTAGAAGAACATTCTGGGGTGACCAAGCACTTAAGTAAGGGATACCTCTTCTTCTTCCGTTGTAGATATCCTGGTCAGTTTTAGAGTTCTAAAATATCAACTAGAACCAGCCTACTGCCCACCCTCCCGTGGTTCTGGGAACTGAACCCAGGTCCTCATTGTGCTAGGTAATTGTTTTGCCACTGACCTATACTCCAAGCCTGTCTAACATATCCACTAGAAATTGAAATTATCTTGTGGTCTTCTGGATCAAACAATTGGCTCTCAAAATATACATAGGGCCAAATCCCTCTGTTCTTTAAGAATTTGGAGTTTGTGGATAAAACATATATTTACTATGAGAAGAAAGGCCAGTGAAAGAACTGATACTCCATATCAGAAGGACAGCTGTCCACATCTGTCCACTGGTGTCTCTTTGAGGAGACCTTGGCACTCAACGCTTTTCTGTTTCTTCCAGACTTCTGAGGGAAATCATCTATAAGGTGTATGAACAGCAATACTGTTTATGGCTTGTTCTTACTATGGAAACCAGACTCTTCAATGCCAAATGGGACCAAGGCTAATTGTTCTGTGTGACAAACACACCATTCCAAGTGGGTGACTCTTAGGTTAAATTTTTTTTCCCCCATTAAGTTTATTGGTACATTTTAGGTATAAAATACATTTACATACATCACTGGGATCTTGTACCATTACGTGAGTATCTTGGTTCTTATTTTTTTTTCCCCTTCCCCTCCCCTCCCTTCCAAGTGGATGAGTCTTAATCCCTCTCATGGACTGTCTTCTCTCACAGAGTCTCAATGAGTAGAATCCTTCCTGGGGCTGGAACTACTGACAGGTGGAACAGACTGCTGAGGATTATAAGTTGGACCATCAAGGTATTCATCTTTCTGCACAGTGGCTGACATAGTCAACCACACGGCCCATCCTCTGGGGTACAACCAATTTAAAACTTTTACCTCAAGTAATTATGGATGATAGAATGCTGTTGTATTTTATTTTGGCTAATAAGGGTAGCCTGGGCCATTGCTAACACTCTGCCCCTTGGGTCTATGGCCAGGTGAGGTTAATCTGCGTCTCAACTGAAGGAGTAGGCAGCCTCACTCTCTTAAATAAATGGCTGTGTCTCAGAAATCATGGGTGGTGATTCTGAAGATCCATTTGGATCCTTCTTAAAATATGTCAATCATTGTAGCTTATCTCCTGTTACTCTGTATGTGTTGTCCGGAGAGTGGAATGCTTTTAGGCCATCTCTGATCCAATGGATAGCACAAAAAATGAGTCAAAGACAAAAACGAGGAGGAGCCAGGCTTGACTGACACTCAAATTGAAAACCGGATCTCTGTGAATGGCAAAATGGAAGTGTGTTTTTTTCAAGGAAGGCTGGGGACAGTGGCAAAGATCTGGACAACCTTGGAGGAGTATTCCTGCAGCTGTGGTGGAGGGTGGACCAAGAGATGGAGACTGGGAGTAAAATGTGAAGGGCACACACTCCTAGGTAGAGACCGACTGCCCTGTAACCATGGCAGCAGGTAATCCCTAGAACCTGTGTTAAACCTATGGAACCCACTAATGAAACTCTGCCACTATCACCAATCTCCTGAAAGTGAGACCGATTCCAGTAGTTAAACTTTACAGTGGGCTCTTGCCTCTGGAATATGACCAGTTTGGGAACTGAACACCTGCTCAAGCCCCTCATCCATTAACCATTAGCTTTGTCCAGAGAAATGCCATTCAAGCATGGTTCTCCCTTGTTAACCAGAAATAAATTTGCTTCTGTTTCACATATTGAATGAAAATTTCTTCCTTTAAAGCATTTTATTTATGTAGAAGAAATACAAGTATTCGCCTCCAGGCCTTTTAAATACACATGATAGCTTACTACAAACTATATTTTACACCTTGCTTTTTCAGTTAAAAAATAGTCCCTGGGGATCATTCCACATGAGCAGTGTCACAGGGACGTAAGGTGGAGGTTTGTCTGAGTCCAGGGCTCATGCTTCCTGCACATCTTCACCAGGCAGTGTCACAGGAAGGACAAAGGAGTAGAACCACCTTCTTCCTTGAGTGTTGACAGCAGAAGGCTTTGAACTTTTGAACCTTCTTGAGAAGTGGAAAGACACCTAGGGATGTAATTCTTGAAGATTGACTTCTTGGAAGAATAATTAAGACAAATTTAATCTTTTTGAACCTCTGTTTTCTGATTATGAAATGGGAAAATAATAGCATCTACCATAGAGGGGCTTGTGAGGATTGACTAATCCTGCAAAAAGGCTTAATAAACGTAGACTGTGAGGTTGGTGGAGCTGTGGGGGAGAGGCTGAGGGGGTGAGGAGTGTTGCACTTCCCTTGCCCTCCTCTAGATGGAAGCAGGAGCCAAAGAAAAGGCCGTTGAGTTGTCCCCAATGGGCTGTGAGCTTCAGGTCCCTAGGGACACCACAGCACATTGACCAGTGCAAGCCAGGGTAATGAGATCAGGCAGCCAGACTTCTAGTACTGGGGAGGCGTTTGGGGTCATTCATCACAGGTCAGGGGACCAGAGAGAAGAAGTGAGGTCGTGAAGGGTCTTGTCCATTTCTGGTGAAGTGAACAGTCATCCATTGACCCTTTCAGGACAGAAAGATTCTCCACGCTCCCAGGTCTGACCTTTGCGTCTCACTCACCCATAGTTGGCAGAGTAGACAGGAGGCTCTATGTGATGTCACAGAGCTGGAAACCAAGAAATGTTGAGGATGGGGAGGGAGTAGTCTGGACTGGACCACAAAATTGGGAAGAAGGGAGCATGTGCTGACCCTCTCTCACGATGTCAGGCTGTCCACCATGCAGTTCAGTGGGGGAAGCCATGCAAGCCCTGGTGCCTTTTGGGAAAGCATTTTGAAGGTGCCAGACCAGAAGGAGGTGTCACAGCACTGGGTGTAGCAACCTGGCCACAGTCTGTTTCCTGCACCCATTGGGTGTCAACCTCAGGCAAAGGGACTCTGCGCTTTGACTTCTTCCTCTGCAAAATGGGAATAATAATAGTGATGAGTCCTCTATGTAACTTTAGGAGTACATGAAAACAGGTCAGGAAATGCAACATGGGGCCTAGGTGTAGTAAGGGCTGCGTGAAAGGGGGATTGTTAATAATGTGTGCAAAAATACAGGGACTTTTCTTTCTTGTCTAACTTTCAGAAAAAGGAGAACTGCTTTCTAGTGGAGTCCTGACAAAATCTCTCACCTGATGGGGCACTCTTTCCATTCCTTTATTTAGGACAACTTAGTACTATCTAGGGAAGTCAAATTGGATAAATATGTCCCCTATCAGTGCTATCTTTGGGTGTTTATAGAGGCCACTGGATACACCAGAAACAGAAGAAAACAAACTTAGCCCAGTTTGGAGTCACTCAATGTGACCTTATTACCATAAACATTGGATGGTGGGTGACACAACTTTGAAAAGCTCACTAGTAAAGCAGCACCCTTGAGTGGTAATATTGAAAATTCTCAATTCTGGCTGCCAGAGACATTCACTGAAATTACTAAAACTAAGACTTCCTGGGGCCTAACCCCAGCATCTCAGGGTGAGGCTGCAACCTGGGCAGTGGTATGTGTGTCTGAAAAGCTTTCCAGGTGATTCTTGTGTGTAATCAAGAAATGCTAACATTGTGGGAGTCACCCATTGTACCCTGAAGTGGCAGCTTATACAACCTGACTGGCGTTTGAAGCACTGGAGGAGCTTCAGGAAATAGCAGTCCCAGTCAGGGATGCAGCTCGGGTAGAGCGCTTGCCAAGAGCGCACAAGGACCCAATCCTCAACACTGCAGAAACAGAAACCAAACGACCCATTAAAAAAAGCAGTCCTAACACCCAGGTCAGTAAAATCACCCTCTTTTAAAACATTTTTTTGGTGAGGAGTTGAGACAGCATTGGTAGATTTAAAAATTCTCCAAGCAGCATAGGGCACGATTGATTTACACAGCAATTTTTTTTAAACCCTAAATTTTCTTGATATTATATGAATTGGCCCTTTTAGCTTGGAATGAGCTTTTCATGGACAGTATTATGCATGAACTCAAAAGCCTTACTTTTCAGACGAGATCGGGCGCGTTCAGGGTGGTATGGCCGTAGATAAGCCTTACTTTTCAAATAAGTTAGAAATGAAGATAATGTACTCTGGAGATCTGTGTTTGGTGAAAATTATAAACACAGATGTTAAAAATGGATGTGAAGCATTTGAAATAAATTATTTTAGAACATGGGACAGTGAGGGTCGTAATTTTATACTATATGTCATCATAAATACATATCACACGAATCCCTGTAAGTCTAGGCTTGCTTATTTCACCCATAATATTGAACATTTAAATATTCAAGTTGGCGGAAATACTTAAAATTCCTTGAATGAGGAAGCTGGTGGGCTGCCTTCCATTTGGGATGCTTTGACATGGACGCGTATTTGGTGTGACTGCTTCCCTCCCCTTGGGTCTGGGAGAGGAGAGGAGCCAGGAAGCTCCTGTACTGATTTCTAGTTCAGGTAAAGGATAATGGCACCTTGAGCTAAGGTCATTTTTGAGTCTGGTGATTTTAGAATGCATGGGCTTTAGAGTTAGAATGCTGGGTGAGAAGCTGCCATTCTAATTTACTGTGTGGCCTCAGCCACAGCCATCAACTTTTTGGATCCTCAGTTTTCTTATCTTTACAATAGGAAGAACAACAGTCAAGGCCAGGAAGAAGTTAGGCCAGCCACGGAAAGCTGTTATGCAGTGCCTGGTGGAAAGGAAGCATTCAATGTTGCTAGATTATTACTGTATTATTGTTTGTTGTTGAGCATGAAGGACAAGGAGGAGCCTGGGCTGATGTCTATGAGTCTAACTTTCCTATCTGTGGCTATAAAATTAAGGACTTCATAAAGAGGAGCAAATTTCAGGCAAGGATAAATTTAGGTTTTTCCAAAACTTTATTTTGTAATAATTACAAATTCACAGCAGGTTGCAAAGAGATGAACAGAGAGGGACCCGTGAACCCTTTACACAGTGCCTCCCATGACTTGCCTTGTAGCACTATAACATGAGGTCAAAACCAGGAAAGTAATTATGCAATCCACAGTTTATTCAAAGCTCACCAGTTACACGTGCCATCATTTGTGTGTATATGTGTGTGTGTGCATATGTGTACAATCTCATTCCATGTGTACGATCTCCTCATCACATGTGTAGCTTCATATTTACCTCCCAGATCAAGATAATGGCTTGTACTATCACCCTGTTTCCTCTCTGCTATCTCCTAAAAGTCACACCCACCTCTCTCCCCACCATCTCTAACCCCTAGAAACCACCAATCTAGTCTCCGTTTCCATAATTATGTCATTTCATAAATGTTACATAAATGGAAACATGAAGTGTGTATGCATCTTTTGAGGTTGGCTTCTCTCACTGACATAATTTCCTTGAATTTTGTTCTAGTCACAGCGTGTATTAATAGTTAACTCCTTTTTATTGCTAACCCATGGTATGGATGAACCACAGATGTTTTGATCATTTTGCCCATTAAAAATATTTGGATGGTTTCCAGTTTTGGGTTATCTCAAATAAAGCTACTATGATGTGAACATTTACATACTAATTTCCTTGTGAAAACAAGTTTCACTTCTGTGAGATAAATGCTCAATTTATGCTGAATAGTATGGCAAATCTATTTTTTTTTAAAGAAACCACTACATTATTTTCCAGAGGGATTGTGCCATTTAACATTTCCACCGTCAGCACATGAGTGATCCTGTTTCTCTGCAGCCTCTGTAGCATTTTCTTCATTATATTTTATTTAAGCTATTCTAATAAACATGTTCTGGCATCTCATTGTGATTTTAATGTGCATTGCCCTACTAGCTAATGGTGTTGAA